TATATATATATAAGGTGAAGACCACAGTGGTGCCTGTGGTCATCAGGGCCCTCGGGGCAGTAACCCCCAAACTGGAGCAGTGGCTACAACAGATCCCAGGAACAACATCAGACATCTCAGTCCAGAAATGTGCAGTCCTTGGCACAGCCAAGATACTGCAGGACCCTCAAGCTCCCAGGCCTCTGGTAGAGGACCCAAGCTCAGAGGATAAGAACCACCCGCGGTGGGTGAGAAGGGAATTATATATATATATATATATATATATATATATATATATATATATATATATATATATATATATACATTGTGTTTGTTTACATATCTACACAATGCAAACAAAACAAACAATGCAAATATATATATATATATATATATATATATATATATATATATATATATATATATATATATATATATATATATATATATATATATATATATATATATATATATATATATATATTATTATCATTGTAGGGCCATGTTGTCAAAAAATAGTTTCAGGCCTCACTTGGTGAGAACAAAAGACCATCTGTGATTAGAAACAATGCCACTGCTATCATGGCTTACAGTGATGTACAAAGACACACCCCTATCCTGCTCAGGACATTACCCTGTGATAAAAAGAATGAATTCAACATAAAAAACATGCACACATATCTACACAATGCAAACAAACACTCAAGAGACAAAGATCATACAACACTATGAAAATCAATTTGCCCTCCAACAAAGTTCTTCTGTTTTTGAATTTTGTTTCACAATTTAATGTTTCAGATCTTTAAACAAACTGGTTATGTTCAAATGATGAGTTTATTAATTAAGAGAAATAACCTATCCAAATCAATCTGGTTTTATGTAGTAAAGTAATTACCATCTAAACCAGGGATCTTCAAAACCAGTTTTCAATGGATGGCCAGCATCCTTCCACTTTCAGACTCTGGTGCTTCAACCCACCTGAGTCAAATAATGAAGTGATTAGCAGGAGTCTTGGAGAACCAGACTACACACCATATAGAAAGCCATTTGATTCTACTGTGTAGGACAGCAGTCCTTGAGGTCTGGAGTTGAAGACACTTGGTATAGAGCAACTCTGGTGTTGATCAAATAATCACTTGGTTTTGGTTACCTTGCAAGTCAGCCTTGGTACAATTCATTTACAGTGGGAATGCAAACGGACTAGCCAGGATCCATATTGTGCTATGGAACCTGGTCCATTAAATGTCTGTTGTTAGCTTAGAACAGCTAAGTAAAATCACAAACCCCAAGTTAAAATAAGAAGAATGCAATGTTACAATTGCATCAGTGAGAAAGATTTAATTCTACCATATTAAAATGTACATGTGTTTGTTTAAAAAATAAGCAAGAATGAAGATAATTATGTATTCAGAGAACCAGAGGATCTTATTAAGATGAAGTCAAATTAACAACATTACTTAAAACATTATTTAAAACCTTGTTTAAAACTGATACATTAACAAACCGAAGTGCTTTTTAAGCTTTTCAAATAATTAGGACAAACCCATCCTCTTCGTTCTTAGGTCATCAGTTTCCAATTGTTTGGGAACGCTATAGCTTTAAATGAGAGAACCCCAAGCATCAATTACTGATGAGAAAAAGGTATCTGATGCGTCAACATGTTACTCAGAGGGAACCTGACCAGGCATCCATACATGATGAGTAGGGAGTGAGAATGTGTTGGTGACTTACACACACAGAAGAGCCACTCTATTTACTGGTCTTGTGAGGAAAGTGGCTCTTTTAAACCATGTACTGCGTTTGGGAACAATGGCAGTAAGGCCCAGTCCCAATACTCAGGCTGCACCCAACACCCCTCTATGAAGTTTGGAGTCAGTCAAAGTCCACATTTAAGTTCCAGTGCGCAAGTTGCAAGTGTGTAAAAATTTGACAATTGGGACTGTACGGATTACATCATTGACTTGCGCCTCTTTATAGTAACTGCAGCGTCCAACATGGAGGTACCAGTTTCTGTTTTGGCAGTTTAACTTCTAAAGACAATACTACAACTCCAACAACCAATAGTTTTTAGGAGAAGAAAGGACATCCATCCATTTTCTGTACAACCTTATCCCTAGTGGGGTCGGCAGGGGTGCTGTGCGTACACCAGAAAACGTGTTGGGCAAGAAGTGGGGTACATCTTGGACAAGTTGCTGATCTATCCCAGAGAAAAAAAGCACATCTATGGGGGAATTTCTATACCATAATTCAAGAGCACGCATGTTCAGTCTCAAAGCAGAATTTCATGTATTTTGTTCTCAAAACTTTTAGTACTTCTGCTTACATTTTCAGTTTGAAAGCAGGACTTTATGTCTTTAAATTTGTAAAGCCTGTACTCAAAAGTTCTGCTGTTCTGCTAATTGCCTGTACTGTAACTCATCCTCACTAACCTTGATCAGCCTGGGATCTCAGTCCCTTTGTAAAAGTATTGTAAGTGCTTTTTATGCAAAATATGTGTTTTAATTAAATATAAAATATAGAGCATCTTTTCTGTTTTTTGCATAATGTAAAAACTTGTTTTTATAAAAGTCATGTTTAGGTTTTGCACCAAATTCCAGCTTGTTTAGTGCTTGCTTAGCTAATGCAACTCCTGCATAGTTGCAGCTCTCTGCTTCACTCCCCTATCGACATCGACATCTGATACAAACTCAAACTAGTGAAGGTATTTCTAGTTAGAAAGCATAGATCTTGCTCTTCTCTCCATTGCTGTTTATTTTTGGGCCATTCTCTGAATTCGGTGGATTTTTGAGTTTTATATTTCTAAAGAATAAACCACAAAAAAATACTGTTTTTGAACATTGTGTTTTTTGAAGGACTCTTTGAACCTCCAAGAAAATATGTCTCCCCATCTTATGCATGAAATCCCAAACATTAATATGTATTTCTTTGTCACTTAAGTTACTTTAAATTCAACCCTGAAACGGGACAATTTGATTCCTCTATGAGTATAACTCTATAACATAATTAAACTAATTATTCCACATCCTTTGAGATCACCTGTCCCTTCATTAAAATAACTATGTGAATCATGATATTTAGACTGATAAGTAGAATATGGCAACTTGATGTAAAAGTGCTTTTCAAAAATTATAAAATTACACTTTAAAACAAATATTAAATCAGGCTTTTTTTATATTTTTGACTCATTCTTTAAACTTTGCATGAGTCCAATATATATTAGTCTAATATTTGCTGTTATAAAAAAAAAAAAAAAAAAAAAAATTGTAACAGTGTATCACGTTACAGGGTTGAACTCAGTGTAAAAGTTGATCAGACTGTAATGGGGTTGAATAATCAAGCATAGGTAAGAAACTATACTAACACTTAAATCTCTTTACACTGTGAGCAGGAAAAGACCTAAATGATGTCACTTCCAGGGTCTTAAGGAAATTGGACTGAACCATTATTTATAAAAGGAGGGATAGGTATTCTGTTATGGGGTTAAACAAAACTGGAGGGACATTATTAAAAAGTGCTGTTTTATAAATAATTCATCTATTTTTCTCATATTTCTTCTATTTAGGTTTAAGTATACCTAAAAATTCTTATATCTGTAGAAATAACTTGCAGTTACTGGCTATTTTTATTTGTTTTATATTCACTGAAAAATTTACTTTGGTCAGTGGGAACATGCTCATTTGGCTCACCTCTACACATCAACAGCTCATAAAATTGTAAACATATATTTGGATGTTACATTACCAAGAAACATGGATATTTCCATTGATTGATTTTCTCAAAAAATGTGGTTTACATTATATGAAAATCTTTGAGATAAACCTGTGAGACACAAAATGTACCAAATTCATGTGTTTCTGGCTGTTTGGTGTGTGTGTGTGCATCTACCCACCATCATCTGGCAAAATCACCCCTAATTAACAGGAGTTTTCTTTGTATAGTAATTCACAGTGACTTGGATAAGTAACTTTAATCTGTCTGCTGTTTTGGAAATAGTAATAGTAAGATTACTCATTATTGATAAAGGTTATCAAATTAGTAGTTACTTAGTAATAGACATGTTACTAACATCACCGTCTATTTCAAAGGGTGCTTCAGATTTTGGTCAGAAATTCACCTGAAATGTGGATTCAGAGAAAATAGTGTATCAAGCCTGGCAGTTACATCAGGATGACAGGGAGTCATTTTAAATTCAAAGTTTCTCAAAAAAAAAAAAATCCTGCCAATCAGCAGGCTCTATTCACAATCTGTTGTTATGTAATGGACTTAGATTTCAATGTGCCTCTATTTCATAAACAGAAATATCAAAACAGAAATATTAATTTCCTCAAATTTTTTTCTGAGCAATAGTGTAAAAGTTAAGAGACATGATAAAAATAAAAAGAAAGTTAATCACAGAGATGCCATTAAGTGTATTATGTCTGTCTGAAGCAAAACTGTGAGTAACTGTAACATTGGTTGCTGAATGACAAGTAATATAAGCTAATTAGCTTTTACCCTCATGTTTAGGTATTATCTTATTGCCCACACATTATTATATTAAGTTATTCACAGAAAAATGGGAAGAATTTTATAAGATTAATAAAAAACATAATTGTAAGTAGAGAGCACAAGATGAAACAAGCAGTTTTATTTTGACCATTGAAATTCATGCTATTCTAAATAATTACTTAGATTTTTATGAATGACTCACATTTTGTGTGTAGATTGACGCATACTGCAGAGGCCAGTGAGAGTGATGAATGGTGGGGGAGGGAGAACTGGATTGAGGTGTGAGACAGAGTGCAGAACAGCCCAACGGTCGGAGGGAAGAGGGGGTGAAAATGAATCATGTGAAGGCAAAAAATAAAATGCAATCCAAAAATGGGAAAAGCTTTCTGCTCTGCTCTTATCATTCCTTACTGACTTACTTTCATTTTGTTTTTTTTTCTGTTTTTGAAGTGGTGCAATTTGCCTTAATACACTGATCCGCAATGTCATAAATACACATACACACACACCCACATGCAGAGGCAGCTCCGCCTCCTCTGCAGTGAAGCGACAGCCAGGGAGGGCAGCAATGGAGGAGCCAGCAGTGCAGCAAGAAAAAATAGAGAAATCACAGGAACGAGGGGAGGATAGAAGAAAGGCAGATTGGAAAAATGAATGCTCCTTCTCAGATTTGCTTAAGCATTCGTGCTTTATATGTTGGTCATCTCCTGGAGACACAGATGTCATAGAAATGGATGACCGAGTCCTGGCCAAGGCAGCCGAGATCAGAGTAAGACCGCAGCACCTGCCTCTGGTGTGTGCGCCTGTCTGTGCTTTTTTTCTCTATCTGTTGGATTTTTGTGAGCTTTGGTTTTTGCATGACTTTGTTTTAATAATGGTAAAATGACATGGTTCAGATGCATAACAGTATGTACTTACTGTGTTTGCAGTTTGAGGCCGTTCCATCACTGCATTTCCCACAGTGCTCCCATGTGATGTCATATATTCAGCTCCTAGCAGTAGGATTTAACTACAGGACTTATCTTATAAATGATTCACCCTACCCTAATAGATGATCCAGAAGTAGTTTGCGCTCTTCACAACAGATCAATTGAAGATATGCAGTGTTTTGCTGAAGGAAATCGAGAACCTCTGCTTTCTTGAGACGTAGAGGCGGAAAGACCCTTTCTTGTAGACAGCATCATCGTTTGACCTGTTTGTTATCCAGGTGAACACTAAGGTATTTATTTTTATTCTCCATGTCCACTTGTGTATTGTGTAAAATGTAGTGCAGGCAGAGATTAAAGAACATGATCCTCACAGTGCACCTTGCTTTATCCAGATGACCAGGGTTATTGAAGCAGGTGTCTTTAACTCCAACTCCAGAGCAATAAGAAACAGCTATTCAGGAAGCATCTCACTTCTGTGTGGTTATTTCCACACAGAAGATTATACAGTCAGTGTGTATGTGACTGTACACACTGAGTGTGTATAGTCACACACTCAGTCATGGCACTGATGTCATCTCCATATGGCTGGCAGTGAGTAGTGTCGGAGCAGAAATACGTTAAAGCGTTGTTTTTAAGGGAAAAGATTTCTGGCGCCTGAAAGTTCGATCTGACCCGATTTTATCTGGAAAGTACAAAATGTTGGACCAAAACTCGGGTTGGAAAGTATGCTGTTTAGATAGATAAGAACAACTATTATTATTAATTGACTTGTTTTGCAGTTCTGAGATGGAGCAGATGTGAAATGAGAGGTCAGTAAGAAATTCGTGGAAACTCCAACACACACTCAGTCAATGGGCAGCCAGAATCTTGACGCAAAACCGACGTCATTGGAAACTATAAGAATGTCTGTAGACAAAGAACGGAGAGATTTTGGGGACTTTGATTTTGAGAAAAAATGTTTGTGATGTTTATCCGTGGTAGAATGTGAATAAATCTCCCGACCCGTCGTGGCTGGCAGTAAGAACTCGTCTCTGTGGTTTGTTATGTTTATCTATATATTTGAGAGTTTATTCGCCTCACAATTCTACAATAGTAGTCCAATCAATTGCTTCAAAACAAGCCTGGAGGACCTCTTCTGCATCCTGCGACCATTTCCCAACAGTCATCTACCTGATGTTGAGAATGAATAATTCTTTGTTTTTCTTTTATCTCTTTTAGCTGATTACTAAGCTAAACCTAAAGTAAATGATATGTTAGGAAATGCAATGAGAGCTACGCTTAGAGGAAATGACATACTTGGGAACACCTTCCTTAGAGCGTAGCTTAGATAGATAGAGGCTAACCAAGCAGATCACAAAATGTCCTCCGTTGCCAATTTGTCTTGCTAGCTCCTGAACGTGGCATGTGAAATGGACCAACTGTATTTCAACCCACTGACTCTTTTTCAACCTCATAAAACAATATCTCAGCTTGGAGAATGGATAATTCTCCACACTAGCAGGTAACCTTTTAATAAGGGGTTTGGCAAAGTTTGTTGCTCATTACGATGGACAGCAGAGATGGTTTGAACATCCTCCTTCTCTCTCCTCTTTGCTCCTGCTCTGTATCCACAATGCCTCCTTTTCAATCTCTCTGTGATTTCTGGTTTCAGCTGTGGAACTATTTCAGTTTTTCCAGTGTTCATCAGTTGCTCCTTGTTGCTGCCTGTTGCTATGCTTACATATCATAACAAAATAGCAAAAATGTGAAAAATATTACCCAAAATCATCCCAACTACACAATATCTAAACAAAAAAAAACAATGTGATTTTTCTCTAAACAGACAGGATTGAAAATTTGAAAAAGAGAAAAAATTTCATTAAAAGTACAGAGCTACTCCAATGTCCTGCCATTGTTGCAATTCTAGAATGAAAGGAGGTTGGGATGTCTGTTTGGCAGGGGACAGGAGAGGATGATAATGAGCCTGTTCCTGAAATAAAAATATTGTAGAATATATTGTGATCTGATCCGGTTTCTGCTTGAAGCTTGTGATATTCTTAATCCCCTACAACACATTTGTGATATTGTTCTCTGCAACTTGCTCTCCAGCTTCTTCTGTTAATCTTAAGTTTTATTTGTTGTTGAATACTTCTCAATGTGTCACTCCTTGAAGGGTCTCTTTTGGTCACTGACATCTCACTGAACTTGTTGGGGTGGTGCTAACCACATGCACACAAACCATGTGCATGTCTTTTACACATTTCAACAAAGTATTTCATGACATGGTACCACCTGGTGTTGTAGTCAAGACCACCTAACCAGACCTTGTGCTTGTTTACTTTTTGTTGTGGTCTTGACTACAACACTAGTTTTTCTGGTTCCACTATACCAGCCACAAAGTCAGCACATAAATGATATGACTGAATATGTGGCAGACTATATATATATAATACATCATTTGCATTGGTATCTTTTCACTGTATAAACACCTAAAATGTGTGCTTCTTATCTCAAACATCAAAAAGCATGTTCCTGATACTGAGAATGATTTCAGCTAAACTAAAGAGTTGATGTCTGTGTCTCTTTTTGTGTTTTTAAAGGAGCTGGAAAATGCATTAGCAGTGGAGAACATGGAACTTCAGGAGCAGCAATCAGACTGTAAGGACTTAGAAGAGACCATGGTGAAATTTGAGAAACACAAAGAAAAACTGATCCAGCAGATAAAGGCAACCAGACAGCTCTGCTATGAAGAAAGTCAAAAGGTAACACTTACTTGTGTACGGTGAATTACTTGCCTATTACTATGGAAAGGCAAGTAATTCAAAGAGATGAATCTTATTCTGGTCTGACCAAAGCTCCTTCTTCCACATGTTTGCCTTGTCCAAGATGGCTTCAGGAAAACTGCAAAAAGAACTTCTTGTGGTTTTCTCTTAATTACTTTCTTCTTGCACATTTATGCAGTAATGACTAATAGTTGTCCTGTGGACAGATTCCTCCTCTGAGCTGTAGATCTCTGCCTTTGGTCCAGAGTCACCATGGGCCTCTTGGCTGCATCTCTGATCAGAGCTCTTCTTGTTCAACCTCAGAAATTGTAAATTGTAAACCATCTTTTGTTTTTCTCTCATAAAATTCCGTCCATCCATCCATTTTCTGTACAACCTTGTCCCTAGTGTGGTCAGGAGGGTTGTTGGTGCCAATCTCCAGCAAACTTTTGGGTGAGAGGCGAGGTAAACCCTCGACAGGTCGCCAGTCCATTGCAAACATAACATTCCAATTATATATATTAATGTATGTGGTTGCAATGTGGCAAAATATGGAAAAGTTCAGGGGTATGAATAGTTTTGAAGCCATTGTATACACAAAGGCATGATTTTATTGCTCTTTATTAATAATGGTGCTTATGTTGATTTCCAGATAAATTTGAAGTGAATACTAATTTTCTTATTGCCTAATTCTAAGCAAAAATTTTTTTAAACTGAATAAGCTTGTTTGTTCATAGATACTATCCTTGCAAGCAGAAGAAGCACAAAATGAGAGCCAGGTGGAGGAGTATGAAAGAGAACTTGCCCGAGCTCGGTGGAGGCTGAAAAAGCTCAGAGAGGAGGTGAAGAGAGCAAAAAGGAAGGTGGAGGAGGCTCGAGAGAGAGACACTCCCCTCCAAGACTCCATCAGACAGTCTTATGAAGAGATCCTACAGGTAAGAAGGAACAGGATGTTAATGGCTTCTTCTGTTTTTAATTTCCTTTTGAGATCAATAAAAATATTTTTTGAATAGAATTGAAATAAATTTGAATAAAGGTAGTGGAAAATGTAACAGCTGTTGGATAGATTGCTATACCACGCTGACATTTCCAATAGATAGAATAAAAAACATGTCAGGTGTCAGGTTAACCTCTAAGTTTCTGAGTCTAGTTAAAAAATACAATCTCCCGTTGTAGGCAGGAGCACAACATAATGAAAGGATTTTTCCTTTTTAACAGATTATTTAGGTGAACACTCAGATATTTGCAAAAACAGATCTGTTTTATGTTTTGTTCATGACTATAAAAAATTGTTACCTGGAGACCTGGAGTCAAGTCAGAATTTTCTGGCATTGATAACAAGGTGGTGGTCATCATGATGACTCATTCTCCTGAGCTCAGTGAATTCCATCATGGAACTGTGATAGCAGCTGGATCCAAGCCATGCATCACCAAGTGCATGCTAAGCACTGAATGCAGTGATATCTGGAGTGACACAAATGGTCACATTTAAGAATGGTCAAAAATCCCCATTAACACATTCCTTAACCTTGTGGACAGCCTCCCCAGAAGAGTTAACGCTGTTCTAGCTGCAAAGGTTGACCAGCATCATCTTGGACCTTATGGATTAGGAATGGGATGTCACTTAAGCTCATATGTGAGTGAATACTTTTGGCAATATGGTGTATGTTGAGGAGTTCATGTCTTCATACAACAAGCCAAGAAAAGTAGTTGTTGCCCTAGGAACATAGTTCACCCTTGTCCCTAGTGGATGAACTAGGAACAGTTCCTTGGGCAACTGCTAATGCAATTGTTTGCATAAATAGTGAAGAAGACAGGAGAAGTAACACAGTCTTAACAAACTCCAGTGTTGATGGACCTTGGCTCTGACAGGGTGTTGACTCTAACAAGCTGTGATATGTTTGTTAAAAAAATAATAAAACCATTCAATAAGAGGAGGAGTAAAACTCATGACAAGGTCAAGTCAATTTAGAATGGTAATTTAAACTAACATGAATGTTATTGAGCAGTGGGGAAAACTGGAATACCTGGAGAAAATCTATGCATGTAAAGACATAATACAAACTTCACACAGAAACACCTTGATTAAGTAATTTCCAAACCTTCAAGAGCCTTTTGCTGTAAAGAGAAAATACTACAGTTCTTGTGAAGCAATGGTGGCAATGTTTGTAGGAGTTCATCCCACAATCGAGTTGCTGGTTCGATCCCCGCTTCACCTGCCTCTGTCATTGTGTCCTTGGACAAGACATTTCACCCACCTTACCTACTGTTGGTGGTCAGCAGGCCAGGTGGCAAAGTGCATAGCAGCCTCAGTTCGGACAGACCGGCTGCTACCCAGTAGCTTGCCACAATCAGCGTGTGTGTGAATGGATGAATGACTGTAGTGTAAAGTGCTACAGAAGTACAAAGCCAAACCACAAGCCACAGTGATCTTGTTGCATATGTAAAGACTGAAAAATGACAGACATTAGAAGATATTCTTAGTATTGTTGAGTAAACTTCTTCTGACTCCCTAACATTCTTCTTCACACAATGATGAAGAAGGAGGAGATGCAATAGTTTTGCTGTCAGGTTTATAAATTACACTTACAAAACTATAACATAACTATGTTCCAAAAAGGACAATAAAGGGCAAACATGGCAACAACATCCCACATCATGAACGCTCCATCACTTTGTGCTGGAGCTCTGTTTTGCTTTCTTTAAATATGACACTGTGAATTATAACCAAAGCTTTAACTCTAGCCTCCAAATGACATTCCAAAATCAATTTTTTTTTATTTAATGTAATTTTGCAAATCTAATGGACCTGCTTGTCCATTCAAGCAGGTCCAGAACTTAACCAGGACTGGAGAAGGAGCCGACTGGTCATTACCAGCAGGTGGTGCTGCTCCATCACCTGCTTTTGATCCAAGCAAAACCAACATGTAGCTCTAAAATTAATACATATACATATTCAGAAGTATAGGTCAATAAATTAGAATATGCTTCCTATGAGGCTTATTGGACAATTGAAGGGTTTTTGTTTGAAAATAACCTCAAAGAAAGTTATCTCCTATAAGACTCACCTCTTCAGAGTTGCTTTGTACCATGATAAATGAAACACTAACCAACATTTTCATGTTGGCAAAATATAATGTTTCAGTTATTGATTTTTGTGTTTATCTGACGGTAGACAGAAAAATCACAAAAACTTTTTGTGTTTTTCAAGGCATTTGCTGCACATTTCAGCAACAACTGCCTTTTTGCTGAAATGTGCAATACAAATAAACCTGATTGATCGGTTAAGATATTTATTGCTCAACTCAAACCTATTGAACTTTATTTCATCAAACACATTTGTTTATGTGTTTGATAAATGTTGTACAGATACCCAAACTGTGGTCATTTACTGGAGCTTGTTCACTTTTGTGTTGTAGGAAGAGAACACTCTGTGTTCTATTTCAGGAGGTGGAGTGACACCTGACAGCCAGCTTGAGGAATCAGCTTCCCCTGCAGACACAACTGAAGATGATCCTCTCCCGATGAAGCCGTGGGGAAGAAGCCAATCACTGCCTGCTTATGCTGACCTAATAATGGTAAACACAGGAACTTCACAGGTCCAACTATAATTTTAAAAAGGTGGTTAGAAAGATTGTGTAGCGTGAGACAGTGCAGTCAATTGATCATATCAAACAGCCACTACTAAGCAAACATGCTTCTTTATGAGTACAAGAATAAAAATGCAGGCTATAAAGACAGATAAAAACAAAGAATTTTAACATTGACAGAAATATAGAAATGTCAAAGTACTACTACTGTGTGCTAAAAGCAGGTATACCATTTTAATTTAGCTCTGAACTGAAATGGGGACGGTGGTACAAGATGGATTGCCAGTTTGTTTCCCACTCTGCCCACCTTTGTCATGGTGAATTCTGTCTCCTTGGGTGAGACACTTCACTCTCCCTGCCTGCTGGTGGCAGTCAGAGGGTCCTCTGCCCAGAGGGGAGAAGCTGGAACTCCAAATTTAAAGGCTAGTATAGACAGTGTGTGACGAGGTTTGCTTTCTGGGCAATGCAACAAATAAATATATAATTTAGGAAATGAACAAGAATGAGTTTAACTTTAGCCAGAAGTAGGTTAGTTAACCAATAATCAATTTTGTCAAGTTGATTATATTAATTTGACAAAATAATCAATCCATTTGATTATTTGATTATTGGGCAAATAGTTGCCAAACATTCCCAGAGTTTCAGACAAGAAATTGGCAGAGTGAGACAAAGCGGAAAAAAAGGTAGGAAACTATAAATATAAAGATCTTTACTGGTTTTTTTTGGTGGCTGGTTCTAGACGAAACTTACCGCGGGGGCCAGTCTGGTCTGTGTTTTTTATAGGGAACACTTAAAGACTGAAACATAAAGCAGAGCAATAGATTTCATCATTTGATATATTAGGTGAGCCAAAGAGCCACTTGTGTCTACAGAGATTCAGGTTGCAGATCCTGGTCGAGCAGATGGTCATATTGCTATACCACATCTAGAAATGCTGCACTATAATTTTGTTAAAGTAAAATTATGAAGGTTACAAAAATCTACCACTAAACGTTAACAAAACACATTTAGCATAATTTCCTCAGTAACCCTGTTACCCCTCCTGCAGGTCTGTGTCTGGTGTATTTTTGATTAGCATATTTTTGTCTTCATTCATAGGAAGTCAGGTTATCCAAACTGGTAAACTACATCAATAAAATATTTGTGAAATCATACATTAAATGGCCAATGAATCCTGAATTCATAAAATATATCAACATTTCTGAATAAAACACAGTCCTAAAAAAATGTACGGTTAATGATTTGTTATTTTGGCTTATGAGACATATTTAAGAGGCATATTAAATAAAGTATCAATCTGAACACAATGTTCTAAGCAAATAATCAAACCACAATAGTCTACTAAAATCACAATAAGAAACTGAATCAATCATATCCAAATGATCTGGACCATATCAGCCTCAGGAGATGATTGGGGGATGAGGAGATGCTGATGTTTGGTTCTTTAGGTTCTAGCGGGTCTGCAGTTCCTCTCCTGATCCACTCTGTCTATAAAACAGCAGCATACTGCACCACAATGGACACATTTTTGTCCATTGAAACAGTATCCATTCTCACTGACATTGTTCAGCCTGGAATGTGGGTCTTCGTCTTCACGTCTAGAATCGCCATTGCTAGGAACTAAACCAAGACACCTGAACAGAATACTGAACACTTCTATTTTCCTTTAAGCCAGTTGAGGTGGCTCGGGCATCTGGGCAGGATGCCTCCTGGATGCCTCCACGGTGAGGTGTTTCAGGCAGGTCCCGCTAAGAGGAGGCCCCGGAGAAGACCCAGGACACGCTGGAGGGACTATGTCTCTTGGCTGGCCTGGGAATGCCTTGGGATTCCCTCGGAAGAGCTGGAAGAAGTGGCTGGGGAAAGGGAAGCCTTCTGAAGATGCTACCCCCGCGATCTGATCCCGGATAAAGCGAAAAATATGGCTTGATGGAAAACAACATGACTGTTTTCAAACAGTAATATCATTGACTTTTAATTAGATGGGTTATCATCCACATATTATAGCGTTCTGAGGCAATCTCATCAATCAAAGCTTAATGGTCTATTGAAGGCATGGGAGGAAGAGATGGAGGAAGGAAAGAGTTGTGAGGTAATGTGAGGAGATAACTAGAACCTGGAAAATATAAAGAGGCAAGATATCAAGAGCCAATTCGAGTTCAATTTTTCACTTAAAAGATTTTCCACAGAGGGTACTGGACTCCCATTAAGATGGCAAGACTGAAGTTATGTGATTCAGGAATGTTATGTTGGAGATATGAGGGGACGAGATGCTGAATGTGACAATACTATGAATCTGTGGGAAAATATAATCATCTATGTCAATAGGATCTTGGCCACAGAGTTTGCACAGAGCCTGTTTCCTTATATTGGTTACAATGACACAGGGGCTCGTGTTATGTGACATTGCATGAGACACCAGTGATCTCATGACTGTGACATCACCATCAAGCTGAACATTTTTGGTCACCATGTCCAACTTTTTATCACCACATTGTACTAATTTTCTGATGACTATTTCCATCTGGACGATGTGCCATGTTACATCTCAAATCTTGTTAAACTGGTTTCTTCAAAATGTCAATGAGTTTACTTCACACTGACAGAGTCCACAGTCAAATTGAGATTTTTGGAATGAGTTGGAATGGGAGATGAGACATCTGCATCAACTATGTTCTGTCATCCATAAGGACCCAGAACATTGAGGTCTGAAATCTGATCCATCCTGATAAGCTAACAGAACATGCACTGACAAGAGAATCACAAAATGCTGGTTGACTGAGAAGCAACCAGCATTAGGATGAGCTACAAATCTGTTCTCTGGCTGATTGGACTGCAAAAACTCAACACACAAGCTAATTGTTGCAACCTTTTATTTAGTCCATTAGGCAGTCACATACTAGCTGTACTTTCATCCAGAGGTCCTGAGTCTGCTGTAAAGCCTTCTTTCTAAAGCTGTGGTCAATTTCAGAGGTGAAACCCAAAGACAGATGTGACAGGTACTGCTTGATCTTCTAACATCTGATGAAAGGAACCACTCTGTCAATGCACTGTAAATGATTGTCTTTGGTACATGTAACATATTAAATAAATGTAATTTCTTTTTTAGGCAACATTAAAAGTATTGTAGTATAATACACAGTGCACAAAAAAACTTCAGAGTAAGCCATAGGATTTTAGAGGTAGTTCACATTAGTTTTACAGACTGACATGAGCAAAATGTAGCAGTCATAAAAAACAAATCTCTGAAACAAAAACTATAAATGTAACTTGTTCGTTTGCTTGCTTGTGTCTTACATTTCCTAATTGCTTTCCGTTTTCTGTATCTCATTGACTCTATCAGGGGGCTGGAGATTTATCTTTCTGTAATAATCTAGCAGGTACCAGAGAGGATGATGAAAGTGGGAGCAGCTCTACAAAGGTGGGGTGCTTTTACCTGGGCATACTAATTGCACAAAGTTTAGCAAAACAATCATTACTTGCTATACACTTAAATATTATGTAAAGAAGTTTTGACATTTAAAATCATAAACATATTCTCCTAATCCATATTGTTACATATACTGTAATTTCAGTTATGTCACTGTGTTACTTTAATGTAAAGCAGCCACACAGTATTAGCTATGATGACCATTCTTGCTCAATGTCTTGCTTGGTTTAAAATTTTGATAAAGTTTTGTCACATGTCAATAGGAAATGGATAGATCAGACATGGAAGAAGATCCAGAGAATGGCAAGATCCACAATAAAAGGAATAATGAGATGGAAGAAGCTTCTACTCTTAACCCAATCCCGCTGAATCAGCTGGACTTCTACCAAGTCAATCTGTTTACTTACTGTCAGACAGACAGTACGTATCTAACACAAAGCTTAAAGAAAGCTTCCAGGATTTCTTTCTCCTGGATGCTTTTTTTCCGGAGTTGTAGATTTTGTGTCAGAATACGACAAAAAAGCAACAAGCACAAGGTCATTAATGGAATTTACTAAAATGCCTCAGTTTCATTTCAAATACAAATTCAAAATACTTTATCACAAAGGGAAATTAATAAAGGCAAGATAAAGGGGAATAATGACGCAGTTATCAGGAAATTTGACCAACAGTTTAAATCCACTGGAATCATCAACAACAGCAATGACATCCAAGTCTTCTCTGCTGTAGCTGATGACAAACAGTTTTAACATGTTCTGGTATGAAACAATCTTAGGCAAAATAAAAATAGGCAACTAGAAATATAGAAAGGCTGACAAAAAGACAAGCCCAACCCTCAGAATGTTGCCCAGCTGGCTGGCAGTGCTGGATCTCTTCAAGGTGTTCTGGCCTGGAAAGTAACTCCTAACCTGGCTTGGATGCAGGTTTTATTGCAAAACAGCTTCCATAGAGATGACTTTTGTACTTACAATTGACATTTCTAAAATGAAAGGCTTCCCAACAAACAAGCATACCATGACTTGTAAATGGTCAACTATGAAACTGAAACTGTCTAAATGTTTCTGTCAATGTGTTTCTCTCTTTTAAACTAGATAGATATTCTTGATTTAACTCCAAGCCCTTGAAAATTTGGCAGGTGCAGCCTTTGGGAAGTTAAAGGTGGAACATTTTTATTTGAGGCATTTTAGTCATCCTGAAAAACAGTTTAAGATGTGGTGACTGAAGATACAATAGTTAATGAAGATAAGAGGCTGCTGTGTCAGGTCACTTCAAGCCTAAAGAAGCGAGTCATTCATCGTATATGCAGGTACATCATTTAATCCTCCAGTTATCTAGAGCAACGCTCAGTAGACGTGAGGCAGATGTCACGGTTGGATAGCAGGAAAGCGGTGGTGTTGTCCTGTCATACCATCAGTTTCCAAAACCAGACGAAAATACTTGTAAATACGCACATTTACACTGACCTGGTAAAAATCCCATGGAGTCTAAATGACCCTGACTCCTAACACTGCAGGAGGGTTATGAAATCCTTAGTGGATTACTTTATGAATATACAAGCATGCACGTGAAAATATATTAATCAATCAATTAAATAATCCAGAAATGGGTGCAAAGAAAATTATAATTTATTAGCTCAGAAGTGGGCATTGTAAAGTATAATTATAGAGGTAGAAATAATTTTCTTTGGGGCTCGGTGGTACACTTTGGCAAAATGAATCTCAAGCTAAAGGTGTTCCTGTTTCCTGCCAGCATGTCCCCAAACTGACATAAAAGAAAACTGGAAAAGATGCTTAAGAGCATCTGAAGTACTCAAAAGGCTCAGGAAGCTGGAAAAACAAGTGTCATTGACCAAAGTAAAGCAATCAGCACAGTTTCCAACTGTAGAGCACTATGGTAGTAGCATTGAGGCTGCTTTGCAACGTAGTTGCCTTGGTTCAGATGTTAGATGCACATTGTACTCAGTAGGTAGTCAAATGCTTATAACAAGCACTGCATTTGCAAAAAATGTTTTCCTATTTTTTTCTTGCCTTGCAGATGATCTCTTCAATGAGGACCTGTTTCCTAAAACAGACTCATCTGGTAAGGACCCATCCTTTCTTAAGAGTCTATTACCATTCTCATTGGGACTAAATTAAACACAACTAAGCATTTTAATCTGAATCAGTTTACAGAAAATACTTATACATTTATAAGACTTTTTTTTTCATCTGGTGTTTTTTAAACCTGTCATGAGTTTAAATAATTATTTGTTAAATCAACCAGTTATTTATTCATATTTTCTACTGATTTTTCAGATGGTTTTGCCTCAGACCCTTTCAAAGGCAGTGATCCTTTTGCAAAAGATATTTTCTTTCCCAGTGCTAATAATGAGGTGGAAAATGAGGCAGACACCAGTTTGTCATGTGCGGAAAATAAAGCTTCAACTGGAACTCAGTGCTTTGAATCTGAATTCCCAGATGAAGATAGTGACATAGAAATCAGCTACAGCAGAGAAGACTTGGATGTCATTGCTGTTGTTGATGATTCCAGTGGATTTAAACCCATTCAGAGCTCATCAGAAGAGTTCATGCCAGAACCAACCCTGGAGAGGAAGTGTCCAGGTCAGCATTCCATAGAATCAGACCCGAGTGGGTATGAGCTGGATCTCTGTCCTGTCTCCTCACCCTCTAAAATAGAGTTCCACCATGAATTTCTAGCTGAGGAGGCTACCACGGCGGACACGGAAGGACCACAAAGTAAGAATACTTTAACTTGGTAAAGCAAATTTTCAGTCTTTGTATGGGGCAGAAACTGAAACTCATTTTTGATTATAGTTTGAAAAAAAAAAAACAAAATCTCTTGTTTTAAAATGCATGTCACAAGATGAAGTAGGTTTAGAAAATCTGTTGGTTAATTCCAGATTTTACATTGAAAAACTGAACTGCTCTGGTACAGAAATTGGCATGGATTTCACCTCAAAACTCTTAGTGAAAACTGAACTGATATCATTGTAACGACTTGATTGTTTACACAGTTTCTGAACGCATGCCTCATACTTTCAAAAATCTACACACAAATCAAGAAACACACAAAGGACAGAACATTTAAATTCTCCTAAAAAAGTAAGACAGAAGTGGGAAACATTTCCCAGTGTGCTGAGTTGCATGTTTTTGTCTCTTGTGTGTCATGTTGGTTTTAATGCGACTAACTAGAAGATTCTCACTAAATTCTTTGGAGCAGAATTCATTGTGACGTTTAATAACTTTTATATATCAGATCAGAAATTTTGTTCATGTAAATTGAAACAATAATTTAAATTATTCTGAAGAAAAAGAAGTAGTCATTTTAACTGGAAATTGTGAGTAAAACTAATAGAGAAATGTGTGCTTTTTAACTAGGTGAGGGAAATTTAATTGGTTCAAATTGAGTTAAAACTCACAATTCAAGATTAATGAAGTATTAGAGCTAAAAACAAAATAGACAACTTGTGTTGTTAAGTCTTTTGAAATTTCTCTTTTTTTTTTTGCATTTGCCATGACATTATTTTCTAGGATCATATTCATGATTTCAGGTTCCTGTTAAGGAGACTGAAGACATTCCAGATTACATGTTAGTAATGTTTCATACAGAACAGTTCACAGGCAATGCTGCACTATTATCGTTGAGTACAGTTTCGATACGCAGCACTGCAGATTTCTAGAGAGAGTAGATGTTTTATGCATTCTCACTTTGGAAAGTCCGGATGATTTGAGCAGGTATGCTCAAATTTGAGCATACCTGTAAATTTGGTTGACCACTAAACCAAATGTCACTCTTATGGTTCTGGATGTTTATCCAATGTTGGAATCCAGTGCTCCAAAACTTGTTGATTCTTTATGCTAAAGTTCTGAATTCTTCTTGTAAAACTATGTGAAAGATGTTTGTCTATGTGAAAAGTCAGTGTCTATAGTAGAGCAATTGACATTTAGAGTTTTAAATGACAGTGTTGTTCCTTGTGAAAACAAAAGATTTTCTTCAAGGAAATTGTGCCAAATGCAGAAAATTGTGTGCAGTGTTTTGCAAAAATTGTATCTTAGAGCTGCAATTTCGGTGTAAAGCAGGAATTGTCCTTGTGGTTTAGCAGGATTGGTTCAGGGGGTTGGCGCATGAGTTACATGTTGTAACTATTGTGTCTCAAATACACTTCTTGCATATAAACTGCAATATATGCAGGAACTAATGCTGAGACTTCTAAAACTGTTTACATTTATGATGAGACAAAACCACCTGCAGGGGTCAGTTCTGGAGAACAAAAGTAAGCTTTTTTATAGTCTGTGCCTTACATTTTACTTAAATCAAAAGCTTTATAATTTTTTTTTACCTTTTTATAACATAAGCAGCACTCTTTTCTTTTTGTCTATGTTGTATACACATTTCAGTCTGATTTACCAACAAAGATTTCACACTTCATTGTAATCTTGCCTTTTTTTTCTGCTAGATCCCAGCTGTGTTTCAACTCAGGTTGTCAGTCATCGTCGCAGTGACAATTTGATGTTCGAATCCAAATGGATAAGTGACTTAAAGCAAACTGATCCTCAAGATTTACCTCCCAGTGAGGTAACAGAAGGGGTAGAAAACACTACAGAGGAACCCAGAAAAGTAGAATACCCCCACAATCCAAACGCATTTCAGAACCAAGATGTTATTAAACCTGACTCTCATCAAACTGATTTAGATTTAAGCTATAATTCAGCCAGTCCACCTTGTTTTGACCCCTATGGGTTTAAACTCAGTCCAGAGAACTCTAGTCACACTCTAGTAGATCCTGATGAAGCTGAGCTGAGCCCAGAACAAGCGGAAAATATTATCTTTGATGATCCCTCATCGCCTTCACCTTATGAGCAAAATTTTGATCCCTATGGGTTTGACATCTCTGCCTGTCAAATTGTGTGTGACTCTGACCCTTATGGCTTTAAACTCAGTCCTGATGAAGAGAACCAGGTGGTTTTAGACCTTTGTGGCAATGGTGACCTGGTAGCAACCTATGAAAATAATGAAGAATTGGAGAACTTCAACTATGCCAACCAGGAAGTACTGAATGCTCAGACATATGAAAACCGAGAGGTCCTTGAAGAGAGTGACTACAATTTTCAGAAATTCATACATTATAGAAGTACTGGAAACCAAGAAGTGTTAGAGCCACCTAATTCATTCAACAAGGAGCTTGTTACCCAGGAAAAAAGGGAACTTGTGGATACCTATTCTCATGAAAATCAGGAGGTAGTGAAGACCTGTCCGAATATCAACAAAGACAATTTACCTGAACCTTGTAATTATGATAATCAAGAGGTGCTAGAAAGAGATAACGGTGGCAACCAGGAACTACAAGGATTTTCATATCCTGAAAACCAGGAAGTTTTGGATTTAGATAGTCACGAAAATCAAGAGCTTCTGACTTTTTATGACCCAGAAAATCAGGCCGTACTTGTCTCAAATTGCCATCATAACAAGGAACCACAGAATCTCACCATGATTGAAAATCAGGAATTGCTAGATTTACATAGCCATGACAACCAAGAGACACCCGACATGTACAGTCATGAAAAAGTAGCCAAGGTAAAAGGAAATCAAGACATTGTTGAAACAGAACTCAATCTCAGTTTTTCCAATAACAGCTCAGACAGTGATCTAGAATCAAACAACATTCAAAGAGTGGAACTTGGCCGCACAGATGTCTCTTCTACCAACACCGCCAATATTACTACAACTGACACACTTAACAAGGCCATCAGCAGAATGTCAGCCAAACATGACTCAACTATTTCTGATTCCCCAAACAATCAGATTTTGTTTGGATCTGATCTGGGATCAGTATTTGGTGCTGGAGGATACATTGGTTGTCCGGATGTAGCTGATGATTTGGAACCACTGAAAAGAAGCCAAGACAAACCACCAAAATCAGCTCCAGATCCAGTCCACTCTCAAAGACCTGTAAGGCCTCCAAGACCATCTCTCAAGGTAAATTTGAAATCTTGAGGATATTTAAGGCGACAACCTTTTTTTTTTTTTCTTTTTTTTTTTTTATACAGAAACTGTTCCCTGAGATTGATAATAATCAGTTGTTATCTTAAAATCTGGAGCTTATGCTATTGAGAAATGACTGTGTGATGGAAGAGTGGACTGGTGAAGACTGAAATGTCTGAATCTGATTTCACCCTGTCACTAACATTTGGCCATTACATATGTAGTGCACCAGCTCCATCATTAAGGAAGCTACACTATGAAGCTTTATGTAGATTGCTCAACATAATCGTTCACAACTCCTCTTTCACATTTCAAAATGGCCTAAGCATTTTATTGTTTAAGACTCTTGCTCCGATTTTAATTGTTCAGTGTTTGGAAGTTTAGTCAACAGAGACTTCCTCCACTACCATTTCCAAACAACAACCACGGCCAAACGACAATTCTAAAACCTCAATGTAATCGTTCACAACTCCTCCTTCACATTTCACGTGGCTGCTCTTCACATTGACTGTAGTAAGCTGTGGTGGAAACATGTTTATTTTGCAAGACACACAAGTAAGAGTGTGTCCAAAATTAATGTTATATGTAACATCTGCAACTCTATGATGAGCAAATGAAAACAGTTTATGGAAAGTAAAGTTCACAGTGATGTTCAGAAAAGATATTGTGAACTATACCTTCCCTGGCATCACCATGTTGAAATGCCGACTTCTCCAATTATATCGACTGGATGGGTGTTACCCATGTGTAGCAGCTCTGAACTCTGAGAAAACTGCAACACAGCATTAACAATGAAAGGGACATTCTCTCTAAGATCATTGAGCTGCTAGCTGTTTGCATAGGTGGCATGTTATCTACCACAATAGTTCACATGATATCACACCAATGGTTATGCACCTCCCAAAATGCTTATTCTAATGACAAATGTTTTTTTTTTGTTGTTGTTTTTTCAGAACAAGGAGAAGGCCACATCCCAGGGTATTGACTTGAAGTGATCTCTGCTATGTCTGCACTGTCTTCTGACAAAGGCAATAACATTCTGTTTTCCTGTGAAAGAAAACAGAATGTAGATTAAATTAAAAATGGGTTACCAAACAGAAAATATTAATGGAAAAAATTTAGCATTATATAGAAAGTACAAATATGTTATTGTGGAGTTACATGTGTCCATGCCAGTAAATTACTTGTCATTCAGAAATCAGAGTTATTCAGGTGGAAAAGATGTAAAAGTACTGGACCAGTTGACTGTGAATACATTATTTGTGGGAAATGTATATCATTCCAGAGAGACACCAGAGATGTGTATGTACATAGATGAATTAATTAACTCTAAAATTGTGACTTGGAGAATAATTGTCAATGAGTAGTTTAGGCTAAAACAGTGATAGAATGTGGTCAGAGCACGGAGGGGCCTCCACTGATCAGTCACTCCATATTGTGTACTTTTAAATGTGACACTCATCCTGATTCAGCCTCGGTCATTGCTTTGCATGAAAATTTACTCTATTATATCCTGAACCGCACAGCTGTTAAAACACACCTCAATATCGCTATACATGTTGCTCCAGAGTTTAAGTTGTTTTTTTTGTTTGTTTTTTTTTTATAGGGGAATTTTTCTGCCATATTCCAAGAGCAGGCATTTTCAGTCTGAAAGCAGGATTTCATGTTTTTTGTTCTCAAAGCAAAAAAAATTTTTTTTTTGAAAGCAGGACTTAATGTCGTTTTTCTCAAACATTTACAATCACTAAATGTTTAGTGATTGTACTCAAAATTTCTCCTCCACACTTAGTCTCTGCTCCATCTCTGCTCGCTTACAAAACCTATAACTGCCTTTTGGCACAGTCGCCTGGCAACCTCTCAGCCAATAGAATGAAAGTGTTGTACAGGGTGTGTTTGTTTCTTTCTAGAGCGTGTGCCTGTGTGGCTACAATCGACTGTAGTAACCTGCTCCACACACTGGAAGAAGAAACAACGAACGTCAGCTTTCTGCTTCGTCGTACACTAAACATCCACCAGCAGTGTGCTACTGACCGTTAACAGCTACTGATCTTAGGCAGGATTTTGTTCACCCAACCAAAGACAACATAGTCATGACAAGCAGGGCCGGCCCAAGCCTCCATGGGGCCCCAGCCAAAATGTAGTTTTGGGGCCCTCTAGATCTGCTAACAATGTGAACTGGCTGCAATCAGCAGTCCAATCATTAGATCATTCACACACCTGCTATAAACCTGTTGCATCTCTGGCAGTGCTGTTTACATCATATACATGTGTAATAGGATACATTTATTGGAAACTGATTTATCAACCAGTTGATTTCTGGGCACCGATTTCCTTAATTTTGGGGGATCGTGATCGGCTGATACTTGCATGTGAAGCTGATCTTTTCCCCTGATCTTATCTTCATCAGCAAATGTTTAAATATCAGCCTCTGTCCTCTTCTGTTCTACAGTGAGCAGACTGACTGAGAATTGAACGTTTACAGTTAATTTTCACCCCTCTGTTGTCAATTCAATGACATTCCTGCTATATTTAGCAACATTTCAGACAAAAAAAATTAATTTCAGTCAAACTCAAAATCGGCAGGTCAGGCTCTTTAAAGATCCGCGGATTGTCCAGAAAACTGTAATCAGTGCAGCCGACATTCCTTGATTGAATAAATTTCTTTCAAGCGTTACTCCAATAGCTGAAAATGTGATTTACACCAGGTGAGTCTTTCTTCCCTGGAATGTGGATTGGTACCGGTACTGGACTGATTCTGTGCCTACAAATGATTTCAACAGAAGTTTCACATAACTTAGAAGATGATGTAAAAATAATGTTTTAAAACAAACAGCCACAAAATGATTTTTCTCAGCAGCAAACAACATATCCCCAACTGCAGCATAGAGTAGCTCATCGATGTAGCAAGTCATTTAGCTAGACAATGTCAATCATTGAGAAGTTTTAATTGTTGTTATCAAACACGGCATTTTGAAGCCAAAATACTTCAGAAATATACAGAGCCTTTATATATCTTTATATAGGTAGAGCCCTAAATCTAAATGGTAAAACAGTCAAAGCAAATGGTAGAAAAACATTTTAAATTTCCCAAATTATATATAGAAGCGCCCAGCGATTGCTCAGACCTGACAAATAGTAGCAAGTATTATTTCACTTCTTTGACACAGTAATAAAACACAGATAGGATTTTATTTGCTTAACCAAATTGAATCTCACACAAAAAGTCATTTTTGTCTACCACATTCTTAACTGAAAGCTAAATAGTTCACGTGCAGTTATGTGGTTGTGGACTTTTCACACACAACTTTCATGCAACGTTGCAGATCACCTGAGTGACACCCTTCCGCTTCAGGATCCATTAGACCCCTAACCAACGGGGTTACCACTGAACTTCCTGAATCCTAGATATGGCTTTATGAAATGTTCACAGTGAGAGCCCCACAACTTTCTGCAGCCTCCATGGACAATGACAATGCCATTCCCCACCAAAGAGTCTTATTATTATAGTAGTTATTTCGTGAAGAACCATACAATTGTACAGAATTCCTTTCTGTGTCACATAAACTTTCCTCAAAATTATTCATATCTCCTAAGAATACAAAAACCAGATAGTGGAAGTGGAATATTTGAAGAGAAATATCAACATAGCTGCCCTGCGACAGACTGGCGACCTGTCCAGGGTGAACCCCGCCTCTCGCCCGGAACGCAGCTGGAGATAGGAACCAGCACCTACCGACCCCATTAGGGAGAAGGGTGCTCAGAAAATGGATGGATGGATGGATCAACATAGCTCTCTGAGTGCATTATCTGTCTGAAGTCAAACTGTTGACATGTGGTCAAATGGCTGTGGGGTGTTAGTTTTTGCACATGCTTAGAGATCCAGAAAATACAACAAGCTGAGCTCCTGTGACAGTTCTCATGCTGCAGTATGTGTTATGGCATATGCATGGTTTACAACAGCAAAGTAGATCGGGAGATCACAACAGAGAGGAACAATTATTACGAGTTCACAATTTCGGAGCAGGAAATAATGACCATCAAGATCAAAATTCTCATTTAACTTTTTCAGACCAGAAGGGAGCAGGGGAGCTCAGTGTTTCAGTCGAACAGATGTGGAAAATGAATAATGAGGAAGTGGAGTTGGTAAAATGAAAGGACAACATTGGTGTCATCACTTTTCCCTCTTAAATAACCTTCAGATTAAACACACAATAATTTCACATGCTCAGAAAAACTTCACCAGGGAGATTGTGACAAGAAGAGGCTGAGAACAAAATGATGTGATTTTCATCAGGCAACTGTGGCCATGAGAGCCGATCAACTTCAGCAAGTTGTTTCATTGAGTTAACATAGTGTGATGGGCTGATTTGATATTCCTTCCAACAAGCTATTGAACAAATTTACATAATAAAGTAGTTGTGTGGTTGATTGGTATGTTTTAACCATAGCTCCATACAGTGGGCAGCAATTATCTCCTTTTCAGAGTCAAAGTGCCCTGATTTGATTTTAGTCCTTATAAAATCAGCCTCACATTTCTTGTGTTGCACTCTGTCTGGCATGTGGGTAATTCTGAGTGAGGTCTTATTTAATCATTCATTTACTGATTTATTGACTGAGAAATGGCAAATACTTCCAACATATCAGTTACAGGGGAAGATTTTAGCAATAGGGAAAATCCTGAGTGGCATAAAATGGTGGAAAAGGAAGAGAAGAGCTTTGAAATGGTTCAAATGGGAATCTGTGTGGTTTGGTCTGTAAAATAACCTCATTATTCCTTGGTGGATGTTTTACAGGAGATTGTTATGTATGATAAGTATACATTACCTGTGATATTATGTCTCCACACTGCTCTCAAGGGGAACTTGAGTAAAAATACTTTCAGACACCACATGTCAAGATGTGTGGTTTGCAGTAGTGAGGATGGACGTGGCAGGACCCAGGAATAGTGAAAAATGATTGTTTTCAATCATGAATTGATACACAAAATCCAGGCCACACAGGTGAGCAGCGGTAATAGTTTTGACTCTGGTAGCAACTGGAACAAACATTCAGCAACTGATGTAAACACATAAAACCAAATCCTCACACTTAAGACCTTTCGTTGGCCTACCTCATGGCTACATGGAAACATTGTGAAATGATTGGTAGCAAATATTCAATCTGTTTTTAAAGAACATCATGCAGCTTCACACACAACAACCAAAACACTAAAGAGTTCAACTGTAAACAGTGAGATATTCTCTGCTGGATGCTAAATGATCTAACCTTTAGTTTGACCGTGAGACATCATGTGTGGAAAACAAAAACGTGTTGTTGTGAAACATTATTGCTTCTTGTTCAGTATCTGAAAATCTTTAAGCAGATGAACATAGTTAAACAAGCCAACCAGATGATTCCTTTTATTGTACATTAGATATTTTTAAGCAAAATATATTTACTCTGTTATGTACAGTATATATGCATCATGTACACAATGTTGGCCAGACCAATACCAGTTTAGAACATCTGTGTATTGCAGAGTAAACATCCAATATCTCATTCAAGCACACTGAAGCTGCTACCGGTGCATGGATCTCAGACTATGTATTATTTCACAGAATTGGTTATACTACAAAACACAGCTTTAATTTCAGTTTTTAACCAAATTTCACATAAATATTAAAATATTTTATTATGGGACATAATATTTAAACATAAAAATCATGTTTGTTGGTGTGAAGAATATGAGAGCTTCTTTGAAAGAACAGAAGAAGGCTGGTGCACTGCCTGATGTAGCCACTGGGGTCCAGAATCAGTTGAGTGCAATAGGAGCTAAATGTTTAATTACTCACAAATACATCAACTCCACAGCAGGGGCTGCAACGAGATGGGAGCTTCTTTTCCAGGTTATGAAAGATTTTATACTTTATCTTCCTTTAATGAACTATTTCTTGTTAAAGTGTTCATGAATTTGCTGAACAATTTTTGCATAACCCAGTTTTATTGTGAAAGTAACTGATGCAGTTAGAATCCTGACAATATACCACTGCTCCAAGTTACATTACCTGACAAGGAATTCCAATAAATGAACAGAACAAATAGTTTTGTTATGAAATTAAAATTTTCTATCTATGCATGGTTTTTGTTACATTTTAGAAAATGTCTAAAACCATCTTTTTTATTGTTATGTATGCCATGGATTGCAAATGCAGTTTTAACCAGAAAATGTTACCCATGCAGATGAATTGTTGACACTTTATCTGTGCCTCCTCATTTAGTGCTGTCTCTATGTATTCATTGTTCTTTTTGTTTGTTAAAAACCATGTTAAGTCATGTTAAGTAAGCAAAATTGTGTTTGAACCTGTTAGAGGAACAGTTTCCTGCTATAATAATGTGTTTATTGTCTGTCAGATAAAAAAAACTGTTCCTGTGTAAATGGTACATTTTGTGAAGTATTCCGGGAATAAACCTGTTGGTCCAACAGCTAGTCTGATTATTTCTTTAGAGAGCCAGTTGAATTGTACATGAGGCATCATCTAATATAAGGAACACCAAGTGACAGACAAGGTCATGGAGAAACATTAAACCTTAAAGATATTTCTGTCGTTAGTGCATAAATCATCTATTTGTGCCAGACATAATCTCATTCAATGCAAACTTGTATATCGCACCTATTATACTAAAGAACAGCTAGCCAAGTTTTACACCAATGTTTCTGCTGCCTGTGATAGATGCCAGCGTTCTCCAGCCAATCTGATCCACACTATTTGGTTGTGTCCTCAACTTTCCAACTATTGGTCCAAAGTTTTTGCTATCCTGTTGGACATTTTTGACAAGAAATTGCAGCTTGACCCCTTGACTGCTTTGTTTGGAGTTGCACCTCCACAGTCCAGCCTGTCCTCCTTTCAGAAATCTTCTTTAGCATTTCTGACCTTTTTGGCAAGGAGAGTGATTATAATGAAATGGAAGTCGCCTCAACCTCCATCATATGTCCACTGGCTTCGAGATACGTTGTATTTCATTAAACTTGAGAAAATTCGGTTTACTTTAAGAGGCTCTTCTACGAGATTTTTGGATTTGTGGAGCCCCCTGTTAGGAACCCTTACAAAGATTAATTTCCCTAATGTCCCTGAATGATGGGGTGGTACGTATGTAGCTATTTGAAAGTGAACTGGAATGCTTGGTCTGTCTTTATAAGACCTTGGAGTTGTAAAACAATGCTTGCTGTCCACTTAATTTGTCAAGATTATAAATTCCACGTCTTGCCTTCAGTTACAGCTGCACTACCTAGTTTTTTATTTTTTATTTTTTATTTTTTATTTTTTATTACCATCAAGTCCAGTATTGTCAGTGAAACCATCAGTTTGACATCCATATTTGATCCTCATTGTTTTTATGGTGTTAACACTGAATTCATCACTATTAAGCCATGAATTCAAATTAGTTTATATTTTAGAACCAATTCATATCAAATATTATCTTAAAGAACTTGATCCATCTTCCTTGTGATTTATAACGGCTGAAGTCTTGTAATACTCCATGTCAAGTTTATTTCTACAGCATATTTTAGAGATAAAGATTTTGCTAAAACTAACACAAAATATTATTATTACTATTTCCATTCAGATCCTCTGTTGTAAGAGCAGGAGGCCAGGGGCTTCAGAGGATGGAGGCATGGTGGAGGCGCTCATGCTGCCCCCACAAGGTGCCACCCTGGGCAGTTGTTGCCCATGTTCCCCATATCAGAAACCGCTGCTATTGTTGGAAAGGTTTTTTAACAATAGGTTAAATACGGTTATTTCTTAGTATTTAGTTTTTTTACTTATTTTTTGTGTTCTTTGTACATTTGTATATTGTTTCCTAGATCAGTGTTGCTGTTTTCCAGCTGATTTGTTGTTTCCTTCAGTATCTGTTCATCTCGGGTTGATTATGCATCTTTCCTCAGTCTTCCTTTTTGCTTTCTCTCCCAGCTAAACCCAGTTAGTAATCAACCACCTGACTCGTCAGCATTCACAAATATTTGAAGTGACTCTATATGACATAGTGTCATTTCAGTCTTTCCAATGCAAAGGAAGGAAGAAATCATTTTTGTTGTTTTTATTGGAACACAATGTATAAAAAACATAGAATTTATAAACCATTGAAGTGAATAATATCAGTTCATTCTATATAAACAAGATAAACATTTTTCTTCATAATGTTTGGTACACTGAAATAAAATGACTTTCAAAGACTTTTATCTGATTTATTATTGTTGCTTTACAGAAATCTGACCTAAATACTATACAGCACTGGTGAAGGACTTAACATTTCCTTGTCTATGATACCAGCAACTTTCTGTTAATGGAAATGCAATGTTCTGACTCTGAATTGAATATTCATTCATTTACGGTACTTTAACTTTATTGTTGATAAACAATAAAGCAGGAGGATCATTCTGGAGTTTGTGTCTGAAAACCTTCTTTTCTTCATTATGCAGTTCTATTCATCGTCCTATCAGAAAGCATGAAATGTGTTCAGATAAATGTAAGAAAAAGGACAGACAGAAAATAATGTGCACCTTAGATAGGAGCTAATGGCTGAGCTGTTTGGATATTTTTGAGCCTTTTATGATTTCTTCTGCAGCAGAGGATAGTTGCTGTGATGAAGACAATGATAACGATGATCAGGATGAAGATGATGCCAACCCAGGCTCCAAGGCTTAAATCTACAGGAACAGAAAGAGTCTCAGTTAGAAAAAAAACATCATGTTTGTGGGGAAACTCTTAAGTTTTCTGATCCCACTGAGCGGCTGGATCCCAGGCTGTGAAGACACCTGCTCACGTTGAGGACGCTTGTGTTTCTCTGGTCCCTGCCTGACCTTGAGTTGTTCATTTATAAAATTATATTGATACAGAAGCATCCATATTATAGGAGAATTTTTCCAACTAAATCTGATGTTTTATAATTCACTGGCCTAATACACTGAAGCCCAGCTTCAGATATACTTCTTAAATAATATAGAAGGACATTTTTGGTGCAGATTTATGACTGTCCTACCTGCAGACACCCAAGATGGAAGAGATCAGGAATATGATCTACCTAAGTAATTAATAAAAAATTTCCAGACATCAAAGTAAGGTACTAAGATGCATATTTCACATTCATTTGTTTTCTTATACACTGTAACAAATTGCTGTAAAAAAACGGCCAAAACTGAACACTATCATACTGTTTCTACTGAAAACGGTACTGCACCGTGAAAAACAATGCATTCTGGGCAATTATTACTGTTTTTAATAAAATACTGTAGTATACTGTGAGTAGCATTACATTTTGGGAATGATTTTAGATTCAACGGTAAGGAGGCTCTCTTTAAACAGAACGCTTCAGTATTTCTGAAGAAATACTGAAGCACATGTTGTTTCCAACATGCGGAAACAAATAAATGTTTCCACATGTTGTGACATGTGGAAGCAACCTCTAGAACTTTCTTTACAAGGACTATCCATTTGAATCCATTTGAATCCTGCATTTTATGAGCCAATCCTAAGGTAAGTTATTTTTGATTATTCATATTTACAAATATTGACATGTTTGGAAGCTCTTTTTCTTTCTTTTGTGTAATTTGACTTGAATTGCTATGATTAGCTGCTAAAGTGAAATTGGTGAATGCTAGCAACTGGGAATTTGGAGTTTCACAGAGTTGACTTGGCAGAAAACTGTTTAAATGTTATGCCGGTGTCTCTTTATTAATTCTTAACATTCAAAAGTTTGTCTTCACCTAGCACACATTAAACCCTGACTCCTTAAGCATCATATGCTAATCTGAAATTACTGCATTTTCAGGGGCTTTCTTGATATCAACCCGGACCAAGGCCAGGTGTAGCAAGATCATCTCCAAGAGGACAGGGAAAACTTTTCAAAAGAAGTCTGTCACTGTCATCCCCTGTGTTTCAACTCTGCTAAAAAACCTCATGGACTTTGAGTGGAATTTCATAGTGAGAACTTTCTAACCAAGCTATAGATATTGTTGCCCCTCCACGCAAAAACAAACAAACAAAAAACTATACAGGCATGAAGGCAACTTATCCCTGAACAGGACTGTTCTTGAGAGACTTATTTGGTTTAAAGGTCAGCATAATCTTAAGACATCTCTTTTAATTAAGAGCATAAATTTTGTTAAGGCTCCCACTTTCTGTTCCTCAGATGTAATTTTGACTGTACAGGCACCATGTTTAACTTATCTTGGCAGTGTTGTCTAATATTCTTTCATTGTTTTATCATTTGAAGTTGGAGCTCTGGTTTTGCCCTAAAGGAAATTCAAGTCTAAATGTTTCATTTAAATTTTTATCTAACTAAAATTTGCAATTTTTTTCTATGCTTTAGATTGAAAGTTAAATGTTTTATGTTGCATCATATTGTTCCTCACTTCCACAAAAAGTAGTATTTTGTATTGAAAAAGTAGTGTGCTGAGTTGCACAATGCATTATTTCCATAATTTATTTCACACTTATTTTATTTCAGACTAATCAAAAGGCCACAATTCATGCTTTATTCAAATACTCTTTACATCAGTTAAGAAATTTATTTCACAAAATAGATGGTGATTTTCTTACTGTTTTTCCAGAATATGACTTACTTTGGACAGTTTACCCTCAACATTCTTGAAAAGGTTTAGGTTTAAGGCACACATACATTGTCATTTCAAAACCTTCGTCTTTATCATGTGGCCCACTAAAGACTGTATACGTCAATGTTTGAGTTGGTTCTTTTTTTTCCCAAATAAATGTTTGACATGATGGAACTTACATTTTCTAAGTGGTTTTTTTTTCATGTTTCTATTTTATATTGGAAATTTACAGTAGTAAGCTGTATGTGAATTCAACAGTGATGGTACCATAGAAAAATTGTAATATACTGGCAACACTGCTGTCAGTAGTCTACTGTAAATCTGATTTTTTTAAAAACAGCAATGTGCTGTAATCAAAAGATTTCTTTTGTGACAGTAATATACTGTAAAGTTGACTACAGCAAGGGTACTGTATAATTAACAGTATAATGCTGGCAACCCTGCTGCCAGCATTTTACTGTAAAAATACAGGGCAATTTGTTACAGTGTATGTATGTAATATCTTAGTTTCACATTTTGATTTCAGTGACTGAAATAGAGATTTTCTATGATTTTTCTAATGTATTGAGATGCACCTGTGAGGCTTTAATGAGTTAGCAGGGAGGGAGGATAGATGCTGCAGTTAGTATTTAAACACATTAGACACCCAGGCTGAATTCATCCCATCTTCAACAAGATGCTAAAATCTTCCTGGCAGCTTAATGTGGATAAATTTTAATAGCTCAACTGTCTTACTTATTTTAATAGAGGTTACAAAAATTTAATAAATATTTATAAACATATTTTACCCTGATACACCAATACATAAATGACTGATATTTGAGAGAAAGTAACTACAGTAATTACAACAGCTCTACTGCTTCATTACACCATGGATAAAAAACTTAACGCTTCTGAACTTTATGTCTACATGTGCAAGCACCTTGGGTGAAGTGTGTGTCTCCTCGTCTGCACTGCTGTGTGCTCCAGGCTCCAAATTGATTGGCTTTAGGTCGGGAGGGAATAAAAGCTGCCACCATGAAGCAGTAGGTCTGTCCAGCGTCCAGTCCTGAAACTTCTGCTGAGCTGGAATTAGCGATCTTATGTCTCTGTGAGATAGAAATCAGATTTTTGACTCTCACCTTTGAAAGCTCAAAGATCCTCTCAGGCCCTCAACTAAAAAGCAACTTCAAGCTAAACTTGATGTACTACTTGAGGGGTAAAAGGTAGATAGTTTAATACATTTTAGATCCTCAGCTCTGATATCAAGAGAACTGCAAAACAAGAAACATTTTTTTTTTCAGTTTTGACATTATATTTCTCATAACTTGTGAAAGTGAAACAATTGTTTCTTAAACATTTAAAATACATGTAGACCAAGGCATTTGTGGTTTTTTGTGTGTTTGCTCTGTCTTCTCAAAACCCCAGCACATGACAGATAGCTGCTCACACTGAGCCAGGTTCTGGTTCTGCCAGAGGTTTTTTACAATCATGTTAGTGTTCCTTTATGCCAGTGGTGAGGAAAGGCCATTCTGAAGCATTTGGTGCAAATAAATGGCTTCATAAGACAATGATGGCAATTATACAGGTGAGGCTGTATTGGATGATGCATTCTCACCTGCATCATCCAATCACCTTGTCCCTGCCTCAGCCAATCCTCAATCAAGAATCCCTTTATGAGGCCCGTCATCCATGGATCCACCTTCTTCCCATCTTAAAGTTTAAAATGGGGCGGTTGTTAATGGAGGTTAATGGTTGTGAAAATGTGATTTTAGTTTAAATTTAAAGAAACTCAGTGTTTCAGTTGATTTTGGAAATTTATTCCAGATGAATGCTGCTTCTCCATGTTTGGTTCTAGTTCTGGGGATGCAGAGCAGATAAAGTTTAGTAACCCTTATCTAACCAGTTAGGTTAGTTAACTGGTACTTAACCTAACTATTAGACTGTTGAAACAGTTTTTAGATCACTTTGCTGATAAATTATCTTAACCATTGCCTTGCCATGCAATTATGCTTGATTTTGATCTCTCTTCAGTGTTCTGTCTGGGTTTTATTAATTAATTTAAACCAATTTTTTGTTCATAACATGCGAGAAAAAAAAACTTCCCTCATCTAGTTAAAGAGCACACATTTACCTATTAGTTTTTCTCACAATATCAACTCATATTATTATTTTACTTTAGGATTCTTTAAATACTTGTTTCAAGTTGCATGAACAAGATTTCTAATTTGATAAATACATTTTTTTATACATCACATTGACTTCTACTCCAAAGAATTTACTGTGAATCCTCAAATTTTATAATCTGTTAGTAGCATTAAAACCAACATTTGTTTTAATGACACACAAGATGCCACAAAGGACACAGAAACATGCAGCTGAGCACACTGAGAAATAGTTCCCACTTCTGTCTTCTTATTATTTCAGTTTTTTTAAGTGCTAACCTAAAACCTGTAGTTCATTTAACTCTTGGAGGTTTAACAAAATTAATGAAAAGTTAACACAATTTACTACTCTATGTTTATCTTTTGTAAACTCACATTTAGGTTCAAAATCTAAAACTCGCTAAATTAAGAAACCATTATAAATAATTCAGCTTCTAAATTTTTCTGGGACAATATTTTTAGTGATGTTTGATTATAGCGAAGAAATACTTCATGGCTAATAAGATTCGAAAAGTGTCTCCAAGGATTCTGCACAGATATTATTATGTTAATATTACAATATTTAGATTTTGGCCAAAAGTTCATTTTGCAACAACTCTGAGGAAACCATCATTCATCCTTTCTGGGACCTCTCCTATTCAAATGTTTTGGAAATATATTTTTTATTTCTAAAAATAAAATTGATAATAGATCTACTGTTTAACTTTAAAACTATGTCAGGTGGTTTCTTCTGTTTGAAAACTCCAAGAAATAAAGTCTTTGTTATAAACATAATGTTAATTTAGCAAAATGTAATATCCACTGCTGTAAATTTCTCAAGCCCAAATCCAAATTTTTTCTAACCTAACCCTTTTTAACCTAACCCTTTTTAATCCTTTTTAATCTAACCCTTTTTTCTATGTAACTTCATATTTGTATTCTTTAAAGTACAGTACCAATGCAAAAGTCTTGAAGACTTTATCAATTTGTATTGAATTTCTCATGTAATCTGCTTAACTTTGTTGTCTTTTTCCTTTCCCAATTCTAGCTTTTGTTCTTTTGCTTGCTTTAAGCCTCAACATACATATTATTTCTTCAAAGTTGTTTTATTTGAGTTGGCAAAATTGTGTTCTTTTTTCCAGATTTGTGTGGATTCAGCATAGCACTGATGAACTGACTGACCTGCTAATCTACAGAAATATCTCAGTAAAAAGTGTAAATTCATGCCAGACCTTGGTGGTGTTGAGTTTGGGCGCTACAATGACTGCAGGATATGTTAGTCTCCCAAAAGAAGACCTTCAGTGGTGCTTGTTTGTATACATCTACACCAACATATACAAGCAATCAACCATTAAAACATAAGTTTTGTGAATGCATTATGGAATAGAATAGACTGTACTTTATATTCCCAAGGAAATCTACAAATAGGCCAGTAAAAGGCTTGAGGGGCACAAACAAGAAGATGATCCTCCAGAGTGATGATTGTTCCTGAACTGAGGTTTTAATAACATTTAAAAACAAGAAGGTGTTTACCATCATCCCAGCTGTTGATATAAAACAGAGTTTCTAAAGCGCTGATATAGATACTGTCCTCATACAAGCAGCATACCTTTCCTGTGCTTCCTGACTTGTAGTAGGTGATCTTATACTGGAGATCATTTTTCAGAATGTCCTTGATGGTCTGCTGCTTCCCTCTCTTAGTGATGGAGGTCAGCGGATGTGTGATGTTGAGGATGACGGTGCCCTCATCAACATCCGTGATGGAAAATTCCAAAGCGCTGATATTGCCTACCGATATGAGACAGCAGTCATAATGAGATGTTTTGTCTAGCTCAGCATGTAAGAATTCAGGGAAAGTCACATCACAGGTACAGAAGGTACAGAAGGTCCACATATCACTCACTCACTCACAACGGTAAATATTTTTAGTGCTTACAATGTTGATTGAGTCAAAAAGTTATAATGATCAGTTTGATGCATTTTAACTTATAATACTATAAAAATACTATAATGGACACAGATGCCTGGTATCTGTGTCCATTATCTTTTCCAGAAGTAAAACACAATACAAATAGTTTTATATTTGTGTACTAACATTTCATGTAACTCAAAATAGTCAGCTAGAAAAACACATCCTGGTTATTAAGGATATGTTTGTTTTAGTATTTAAAAGTTGTAAAGAAATATAACAGTAATCATAGTAGTAGCTTCAGTTGTCACTTGATCAAATAGAACCTAACACTGAGCCTGTCAGGTTCTGTGTTTTTCTGTGTTTTATTCGGAGTTTCTGTGTCTTGAGTCTTCTTGTTGTCCTGTCTTCCCCTTGACTGTTCCAAGGTGTTTCTTGTTCCCCTGATTGCCCTCAGTGTATTTAGTCCCTCCTGTGTCCTCTGTTCCTCGTCGGGTCCTTGCTGTTGTTGTAGTCGTACTTTCTATAGTCTGCCATCCTTTATGTGTTTCGACCTGTAATACCTGTTGCTACCGGTGTGAGCCCTGGCTTCCGCTCAGCCGTGCTGCCTACCTGCGGATAACTTGGTGGACTGTGTTTTGTGAATTGATTTTCACCATTAAATTATCATCACTCACTTACCTGGGTCTCCAGCGTGCTGCCTCACCACCCCAAACACCACCACCTCATGACAGAGCCTGGTTCTAGTTCTGCTGGAGGTACTTTCCAGTTTAAGGGGAGTTTTGATGAACATAACTTTTAGTGTCTGTTCTTGACTTTCATGTTTCAATTAACATTTTGGGTAAAATAATGAGGAGAAAAGCTCTATGCTAAAGCGGTGGAGCCAGATCATGATCTTTGATGAAAAAGGGATTGAAGCTGGAGGGGAAGTTTGAGTCATGACCGTTAATGAATGAGAAAGTCATAAATATAAAAAATGCGAAAGCTGTCAAGTGCTCACATGTCTGTGTGTGGGTGTTCGGTAATGTGATACCTACTCTCTCTGTAGGGGTTAAATATTGGGGAATAGGTGTGAGGGAAGTCATAGTCCAAGCCAAACTCATCGGAAAGTTTGTCAAAGTCTGCTCTGATATCAGCTTCATAGTTCCTGTGAAGACAGAAAATTTTTCCTAAATTTTCTCTCTTTCTGGGGTTTGTTTGTTCTATACTGAGCAACTGCCAACCCCCATCTAAACTCATACAGTTTGCCTGACTAATTTTAACTTCAGCATTTAAAAGCCTCTCACAAGTCTTGGTTACGAGGTTGTGATGCAGGCAGCAAACCTTGGCGCATCAGTTCCTGTCTGCATGCCACTGAAATTTGATCAGGGAGTTTAATTCTATTAATTTTATATTTAGGCATCTATCATTCTGAGCAGAAAACTGTGAATTAACAAAGACAGGAATCAACAGGAAGATAATAGTTATAGCTGCTAATTCTATTTCTTCAGACCTGATGCAACACATAAATCTAAACATATAGAATAAAAGATAGAATATTTCTGAACTGTCAATTTTTATGATAATTTTTAAGAAAAGTTGACCCTTTCTAAAGATTTTCCATAACATTTCAGCTGCTTTCATAAAAGAATATAAGACTCATATGTCAAATTTCAAATTAAATCTCTTCAAGTGTTAAAAGTACCTTTGTCTTTTCAGTTTTACAAGAGATGGTAGACTTTACTTTAACTTATCATAATGGTAATGGAAAAAGCAAGTAAAATATTAAATTCTCTGAGAAAAAATCTTTATTTCATAAAACAAACTGTGAAAAGTTTTAAATGTCATCAGTAAGGCCTCACTTGTCCGATCCTTCAAGCTCTTGAGTCAAATCGCATTCCATCTCTGTTGTTCTGAAGCAGTTAGCAACATCCATCCAGTCCTTATTTCTGAAAGGTTTATGACAAAATTAGATCTTAGCAGAAGAAAAACCTCCAAACACAACAAGACAATTATTTTACACCAAAGAAACAATCAGCAGATGTTGTAAACAAGAAGAGGTTAGACAAAGTCATTGTTTTGTAAGTCACAAGTAAATATCAAGACAAATTTCAAGTGAAGTTCCTCGTGAACACATGCAAGCCCCAAGTCAAGGTAAAATCCTAGACTTTTGATTCCAAGTATTAAACAAGTCATTCAATCAATTACTTTTATTAATTACTGGGTAATAATTTTTAATATCTGAATTTATAAAATAATTTTGAAAACTGCTGTTGATTGTCTGAACAACCAGCGATAGAAGCTGAACTTCAAAATGTCAGAAAGTTAGTAGTGATGTTGCTTTTACCTGGAAATATTTGCCAAAAAAATGAAACGGTCAGAAAACAGGGAAAAAATGTTCTCCAGAATAAAAAACTAAATAAATACATTTTCTATAGACATTCCAAATATTCCCATGTCAACCAACTGCAACAAGAAATCCCTGATTTATAATATTACTTGATACAGATCACATCCTTAAATTAGCCAATCAAATTATTTATTAATCTGTATCAGAACAGCATTCTTTGTACAGTTGATTTTAATGGAAACAATTACTGCAGCGTCTACCTGCTCAGATGCACTTTAGGTTAAGACCAAAAGATCAGAGATTTGGCTCTCCAGGCAATGTCCTGCCACTGCACTGTTCTGCACCAGATCAAGTTCACCCCACAGTCTGAGCTAACATGGACCAGCCAAAACAGTGGCATCACTCACGCTCCGCTGGTGACACTTGGTAGTTTCAACTGTCACAGCTTGAAATGACCAACAGGTCTGGAGGAACTGTCTGCAATTAAAGTCTTACTGAAAATGCATTAACACTATTGTATAGAATGGTGCTGCTGTAACCTATGGGACATTTGGCTGACTCTGTGCACAAGTCATCTTTTTTTCTTTCCCAACTTTTCCCAAACCTCGGATAGTTCTGGATGAACAGACATCTCCAGCTCTGTCATCATCTTTGCTTTCTTTGTAGTATGAAGAATGAAAGCAGATAAACAAAACGGTGGAAGCAGTGCATAGGAGATGAAATTGCTTCGAAATGGCCAGGACCATGCACTGCCCTTGACCATTCACCTGGAACAGTTTAATTGTTACGTGCCAGGCACACCCATGAAACCAGACAGAAAACAAACTTTCTTCTTGGTTTAAGATCTCAAGTCTTTTTGAGGAAAATGTTTCACATTCAATTGAAGTCTTAACTCATTGGTATGAAAGTATGAGTCAAGTCCTAAGTCTTTCCAGGTTTTACCAAGTTAAATCTGAAGTCACAATTTTGTGACTCAAGTCATGGAATCCAGATTCCAAGTCATGTGACTTTGCTTAAGTCTAACAGGCAACAGCTGATCATCAAAGGCAGGATAAAAAAAAAAGTGTCCTCACTTACTTTTCAGAGTACTGGATGGTAAAAGTATTCCCAGACTCTTCAACAGTCCATTTGAGAATAGTTTGAAAATCTACAGATGTCCAATGAACATTCTGTGCTTTGGGTACAGAAGTGTCCCCTGAGAATATGAACAGAAAACATTTGTCTCTTTAGAATGGAAGTATTTAGACAATTGTATTCTTCAAAGTTGCTGTATGTAACCTTTACAAAAATGTTTTTTTTTTTACATATTTGTTCAAACTGTCACAATGTAACAGTAAAATATCCATTCATCCATTTTCTAACACTCTAGTCTCTAGTGGGGTAAAGAGGGGTGCTGGTGCCTATCTCCAGCTAACCATAGTGTTTCATTTCTACTAAAAGTCTGAATTTACTATCTCCACATGTGAATCAATGAAAAAGCTCAATAAAAAAGCAAGGTATCACATGCTAAAAATGTTAAGTTCCACTATATCCCTTAAACAGGCAGAATAAACATGAACGTTTTACTCTGAATCGGATATGAGGTGGAGCACCAGAAAGGAGCAAAGTTAAAGTTCCTAAATCATATAAGCTCTGACCGGTAGGTTTCTAAGAAGGCTGTTTATTCACAGGAATACACTGGCAAGTCAGTAAACATTCAGACAATTGTCATCCTAACATCATCTAACTATGTAAACAAAATGTACATCATTGTTAAATTACATAGGTAGTTTGTAGAGGATTTAACTTCTCTCTAGTTAAAAAACTAATAGACTAGTTATACTCAATAATGTTGTGGTATCCAACAGAAGTAAACCATGAACATGACAGCAACATTTACAACTGCACTGTGTGGAGGTTTCATAGAGAGGCTGGTGCAGATGACTTGTACCAGAACAGAAGAAAACAATAATCTCATGACTTACCTGTGGTCATGCTCCACACAGTCAAACATGCTCCCACAGACAGCAGAGTTTTTAGACATGCCATGTTGACACACTAGAATCTGTTCCAAGGCAATCTGTGGTCCTTCACTAACTACCTGAGCTGAAAAGAGCTGATTTTCAGCGGCTCAGACTGTTTCTCTGCTGTAGGGCAGAGAGCGTGGGAGCTGCTGTGAGGTGGAGCTAGGGGAACATTCAGGGTCTGCCTGCTGTGTGTTGATTCTTTCCACATGTTTGCACATATGGGGCTCAGTCTGAATCCCTCCCTAAAAGCCTGTGTTGAAGAGCATGAATGCCTTATGATTAATTGTACACATTCATTTGAAAATTGGGAAACTTGAGTTTCAGTCGTTTTTATTTCTGAAGAGGACTAAGAGATGACAACGCAGTGAGTAACACATTGGAATGGCATGTGGTCTGAAAAAAGATTGTGGTCTGGAAATTAAAACAAGCTATTCATCTCATCAGTGGTTCTTTTGTAAGAAACAAACAGCTTGAGCTCTTGTTGCCTTGACAACCAAGAAGCTTTGTGGCCTAACACAGATCAGACTCACCAGAAACCACTTTAGTTCCAGAGAATTTGTTCAGTTTGTTCACATTAGCCCACAGACAGATAAGTTAATTGTTAATTGTTAATCTTTATTAAGGACAGTGCACATTAATGAACAATCAACACTACTGTATAGACTGTAAATGAGCCAGATTATAGCATTGCTAATTTCCATCTGTAGTCCTAGACAAGGAGACCCAAACAACAAAAAGACATTATAAACATACAATCAAGAATTAACAAACATTTAACAAACATTAACAGACATTCACAAAGTTAGTTAAAATGAAGACATGTCTGGGAAGTTTTAATAAATTGTTTCAGGTGTTTTTTAAAAACGCTATAGGTGGAACACTCTCTGATCCTAGTCGGCATACAAGATGAAGTGACTCCCTCTGACTGACAGAACCGTTGCCCAAATGTTGTTTTTCTGTAAGGTATCTCCAGGACTCCTCTGGAAGACGCCCTGGTGCCGAGACCTCGCTCGGCTCTTTGCTTAAAATATATAGCAAGTGGAGGTGGAGTGAGTCCATGAAGAACTTTGTAGATAAGGCAACTGTTTTTAAAATTAATAAAGTTTTCAAAGTTAAGCATATTATATTTTTCCAAAATATGACACTGATGATAAGACAGAGGATTTTGATCAAGAATGTTTATCAACTTTTTGAATAACATTTCTATAGGTTTTAATAATGTATCTCCAGTGAGTGACCAAGTTGTGATGCAGTAATCTATGTGTGAAAATACCATTGAGTGCAGGAACATTTTTGTGAAGTTAATTGTCATTGATGGTCTGATTTGTTTAAAGTTATTCAGATTAAATTTGATTTTGTGGGTCTAAAATGACTCGATGAGTGTTCTTTTACTATATCCTTTTAATAAAAGTCATAATTTCATATTCCAGGTGTTCCTCAAAAATGTGTTAATGAGATCATACCATTCAAAATTTGATCTAATCTCTGATACATTTAGCAGAATTTACATTTTCACAATACTATGCAAACTTCCCAGCCTATGGTGGAATTTTTCTGCTATGATCCAAGTGCACACATTTTCAGTCTGAAAGCAGGATTTCATGTCTAACTTCTCAAAACTTGTAGCTCACTCTTAATCTCTGGTCGGACTCTCTGCTCACTATTGGAAATGCCTCTCAGCCAACAGAGGCGTTTCCAAATGAAAATGAAAAGCCTTATTGCTTTTACAGATTTGTTGAAACTGTCACAATGTCGTGACAGTTTGGTAGGTGACAGATAATTGAACAAGTTGTCATCTCCCAGTACTCCCAGTACTAACTAGAAACAGATAATCAGTCCCCAAAGGAGGGCCTTAGTGCTGTCAATAATGCTTGTGTATGTGATTACTCTTTGCTATGCTGCAACTTCTTCCTGATAGCAGAAGCTTCCATCAATGCTCAGGCTAGTTAGAATGGCCATTAGATGAACATTGTCATTGCTAGAACAGAAAGGTGTTTCTCCACCATTAGCACACTGAGCAGTGCATACACATGTATAATTGACAACACTAATACCCTCCTCATGGCTCTGATTGGTTGTTTCTGACCAAAAGCAGCACATTTCTTCAGAAGACAACAGTAGTTCAGGAATGAGGTGGAAGAGTTTGATTTTTCACAGATTGCTTGTCTTATACTGTCATTTTTTTTAATAAAAGTTACAAACTGCAATTTTAAATACAAAACTTCCAATGTAAAATTCAATTAGTATTTATTATTTTAAAAAAGCAGGTAAACCAATTACACTTTAAAAATAAGTACAGATAACTATGTGCTTTCTTTGTAGAGTGAACTTAACATGAGTTTAAGTAACTAAAACAAAAGAGAAACAAAAGAGTGACTTGTTATACTCATGACTGCTATGTCATGAGTATAACATTCTGGGAAGTTGTTACTTCCCAGAATGACAAATTTAATCTATTAATCTATTAAACTATTGCACGTGAAATTTACTCAGTTTAGTCCATATAACACTTATTGAAGTTGAGCTGGACAGCAATCTGATTTGTGAGCTAAAAAAAATTAAAACCAATATCACTTAAAAAGACTCAATTAAATTCTGTTCAAAAATTCTTTATAGATTGCAAATGGAAATTAAATGTCTTTGTAAGTCAATAATTAGAATTCTTCAAAGAGTTATTGTAGATGGTGATGGTTGTTGGCAGGAAAGATCTCCTGTAGCAGTCTGTATTACAGTGACTCTGAAGAAACCTCTGACTGAAGATTCTCTGTATTCTCAAGCCAGTCTCTTGAAGAGCATGATCAGGGTTGTCCATAATTTATTGATTTTATGAAGAATCCTTCTTTGAATCATCATCTCCAGAGTTTCCACAGTCGTTCCCAGAACAAAACCAGAAGAGAACCAGAATAGAACCAGCCTTCTTTATCAGGCTGTTGAACCTTCAAACGTCCCTGGTTCTGATGCTGCTGACCCAACAGATGATGCTGAAGAGACGACGCTCTCAACAACAGACTGATAGAAGATCTACATCATCTTGCTGCAAACTTTGAGGAATCTTAGCTTCCTCAAGAAGCTAAAATAAGTTCATCTGAATTACAATTAAACATAATAAATAAAGGCAATAACTCAGATTATAGTTTGATCATCCTTTTTATATTTCTTCCTTTTATATCAACCTTAAAGGCAATCTTCAGTGATATATAGCAGCAGTTTTAAAATAATAAATTGAACCAATTTAATAAATTAACTTGGATAAACTTAATTTAATTACTTTTTACCAATTGAAGCAATTCATTTAATTTGGTTAAAATATTTTCACTGTTCAGTGTAGGCTTCAATATTACTTAAATCAAAATGTCACCACTTGCACAATTCCTGGACAACACTTAGCACTCGACTGGATTCATCGGTGCAGGGGTGCCGCCAAGATTCTTGGGGCCCATGATAAAAAATTTGATTCCCTCTTCCTCCCCTGTGCAGCTGCTGTTACAATTTCTTGAGTCTATTTGACCTATAAAAACATCACAATTTTAAAGGCTTGCAAAGGTCTTGCTTTCTTTGGTCCAAGACTGATACTAGCAGAATATTTACTGCTCATGAATTTTACATGCAACAGTCGTCAGACAGTAAACAAGTAGGTTGCTGATTTTTTTCTATTAGGTTTAGATAACAGAAATGTCTCTCCCCACAAACAACAGAGGCAACATGAAAAATATACATGAAGCAATCCAGACTTCTCAAAAAATGCTATGTAGTTGCATTTTATTCAAGCTGCAGTATAGAACTTTAATTTTTTTAAAATCAGTTTTCTCCAACTTTGTCAAAGTTGTCACCATGTTACGACAGCTTGTTACCTGATAGATAATCTGAGAAAAGATCAATCTCCTCCACCTCGTTTCTGAATTACTATTGCTGGGTAAAGTAATGCAATGTTCTGACCAAAACAACCAATCAGAACCAGGAGGAGGGTCTTAGGCTGTCAATCAACCTCATTCACTCACTGCTAAATGTTTTTGTTGGAATAGACAGTTTTTCTAATACTATTTCTCTGAATAATCCTTTTTCTCCTGTTAGGCAGTCCTTAAAATTCAACAACAGCTTTGATTATAAGGGAATAAAAAATATATAACTTGAATTTTATCAGGCCACCAAGATTATGTTGGAGAATTGCCCAATCTTACATTAAGTAAGGCATGAACAAGCTAAAGTTATGACTCTTTGGTTCCTTAGGAACCTCAGCAGTTTTTGAAAGTGTGTATTAACAGACACACTTCATAACTTACATTATTACCTTTAAAAGAAGCAGGACAGCACAAAAGTTGAAGCCAACAGGTTTTCTTCTGTTTTCCACCCGTGTGCTGAACTGAGCAGCACACGGAATGTGCTGCTCAGTTAGCTAACTTTTGTACGTTAGGGTAGTTGTTGGATTTTACAGAGCAGGGTAGGGTTATATCAACCCACTGGAATGTTTCTTTCACACTTGGCAAGAAAACCAAGATGCCATGAAATATCTTGGCACCATGTGTAAGTCATTTAATAAGAATGTTGAGTGATCAGCTGTTATAGTTTAAAGCTGATGAATCTACTAGTGTTTTTGCTCTTTGCATGGCTGACCAACACATCATGAGTTTTACCAGCGCAGATTTATTTGTTCATAAACATGTTGCATGTAGATGGAGTAAACAAGAAAATCAGCAGTAATCCGATCTGTGCTGTGCTCAGCCAAGTGCATTCCTGCGGGAGCTGACTGAGGCCTCAGGGATGGTTAGCTTTGCACTCACTCCTTTTTTGGTAGAAAAAACAAGATTTATGCTCAATAAAGTCTGATATCTTGTGGGAATGTTCTTATTTTGAGAGCATTAGTTTTCTAGAAAAGTAGTCAAAGCTCATTATGGTGTCATATAAGATTTAAGGGAAGAATAAAATCTGACTCATCTTATGTCATCAGAAGCATCTCATTCAACCGCTGACTCATTCATGTTCAGACTGGAAGCAAACCTAATCATTTGTTTAGTTCCATTCTACTTTATGTACTTATGTACCCAGAGAACATTCTGGTCTCCCACATTAGTCAGTGGGATTTGGATGAGTTTTCTGTTTATTCTCAATGCACAAATGTTATTTTAACATTTGGCCTAGAATAATATTTGCATCTTTTGACCCTTTCCTCGTTCATGGATTGA